TTTCTTTAAATCTATAAATATACCAAATGTGATGTAACCTGCGTCCATTTTGTCTGTGATGTCAGTAATTAGATCTACAAGTGCAAGTTTGGTATTGTAATGTTTGCGAAAACCATATTGAGTCGGCAAAAGAATATTAAATTTATCAAGGAACGCTAAAAGTTGGGATTTAACAACGTAATAGACGTACAAAAATAAAACAATCGAAAAGAAACTACCATGAACGAAAAGTTGGACATTTGGAAACTTACAGGTGGTCTAAATAATTCCATGACAGCAATTCTACCGTACATTCCAATCTCCTTGATCGGCCTCAGCCCTTCAGGTGTGACAACATAAATTTCTAGTCGAGTGTTTTTGGCAATAATTAAGTTCAAATCGCCTGAAGAGGTGAAATTACCTGAAAATTGTAACAAAGATGAATAATTAGTACAATACAATACAATACAATATTGGTACATTGTACAACCATACCCGATATCACTAACTCATAGAATTGGTCGAGTGCCGACATAGGTAAATTTACTGCAATTATGATTATGAATCAAACATTAATTACACATAATAAAAACTCCCATCAATGGCTGAGCAGCTCATCGTTTTCAACTTGAAATCCAAATCTCTCAACTGTCTTAGATAGTACTTCTAGCTGCTTTCGCCTGTACCCACCCACACTCATTCACTCCACTATTTTTAAAAACTTATTTAAATATGCCGCTGATTTCTTCCGGGGCTGCATGCCTGACGATGTTCTTTTGACCCTTGCCCGTTGCTTGATAGGTTATGTATGCGCAAATATAATTACATCATGTCTGACAGTAATTCAGGAATCAGGAACTGCTATTCAATAGCAGTGGACAGAACTGGCAGTTTCTGAATGTTTGCATTTGCATGTGTAGCTTAGTTCTTGCGATGTACTAAACTCAGTGAAACTTTCCAGACTCATGGAAGTGTCCACATTTTAATGGCCATAACACAAAATTCAGACTCATAAAACTGTCTACGAGACAGCATTTTTTTAGCCCATTTCACGACAAATTAACATCGTAATTTGTGTTTCAGCTTGATGGAAAGTGTTGATAGATGACATTTTCAAGTGCCACAATAGTTTTTCATAAAAATAGATTTAAACGTTTCTTCATATTTGGTTATGAACTAACAGCTTATTTATTATCAAATGTAAATGAAAACCTTTTTTTGTGAAAAGTACAATGTAGTATGTCTTACAGAAACTGACAAAAAGAAGGAATTTCATCAATAGTGAATGATAACTTGATAAAATGGCATATCTCACAAATATATTCAAGACCCTTATATGTGAAAATTGCAAATGAAATTGTCTTTCGTCGTCCATCACTTAGCCAAGTTATGTAAATGTACAGCAGCATGTTACAGCTGGAGCTTGAAAATAAACTGAAATTACACACCAAAGGCATTGCCACAAGAAATCAAAATTAACGATAAATAAATAATGTGATATAATAACGATGCGTAATCTGAGATTTTTTTGAAAAATGTATTTTTTCTTCGTTTTTCTCCTGTCGGGAAGTACATGTATCAAGATTAATGAATAAACAATTCATGAGTTCTAAAACGATGACAGATTGATTAATTGTTGTGCATACATGACACTCGTAAATAATTCAACCATACCTTCTGAACACAGACAATGTTGACACATTTCGATACAGCTTTTCAGTAAAAAATAAAAATTGTAAAAAATTAAATATGCTAAATATGCATAATATTTTTCAAACTGCAAATATGCAAATGTAAAAGTACATGTGGCTGGCAGCATAAGGATAAATCACAGTTCACATCTTAGGATAAATCGAAATTCACATCTAAGGCAGTTTATTGTTGGACTTGTCCAAACAAGGATTTATCTATACATGTAAGACGAGGGTAATACATGTTAATTCACAATGTTACTAATTTAAAACGTGGAAGGTACAAACGGAAGGAGCCACAATGCCTCTTAAGTGGCCACTTAAGCTTCTTAACAGGCTTATTTTTTTCTTGTTTCAACCCAAGTAAAGCCTGATGAGGACATTGTCTAGCTCATCTCTGATGTCGGTGATAGTTTGCGATTGTTTACACAAGTAGCTAGTTAGCGTAAATATGATACAACCACGCCGATTTTTCAATGTGACCATAAAATATATACGCATTATGAAACTACGGTCATTACACATGCGCACTGGGTTTGTTTAGGTGTGAAAGGACAAAATATGTATTTCACAACCGGAAATTCAACAGATGAATGTTTGACTTCACAGATTTCACATGTTTTAAATTATTAGCAACTGTAACAAGAACAAGATTTCGAGTGTCTACAACAAAAATTCCTAAGGACTCCTAAAAAATTTTATCACAGAGAAAGTGTTTAGGCATGCCCTTCTTTTGATACTATCTTTTCTGGTGGTGTTCGCCGATGTCCGGTGGTCAAAAATTTTGATAGTTTTGGGCGTCAAACCCACGCACTGACAATGGTACCACTGAATAATGCAAACGTTATTGTCACAAGCAATCATTGATTACGTTCATCAGTTCAATAGTTCATCAGTTCTTCTTCAATCGATGTTATATCTCTCAATTTTTCATTAAAGTTCACCAAGATCACCGGAAACAGCATTCAAACTAGACGCCATTTTCAGTATTGTACATGCGAG